AGGAGAAGAGGCTGAAAACCATCTTTATTGGAATTAAGACCAGGGAAAAAAGTTACGATTGCACTGACATTTGTTCATACAGTATTCAGAAATAGTTTCCATAGATATTTACGAAGCTTAGTGTAGGTCTGACACGGGACTCCCAAAAGAGTGTTGGATTGCTCTTCCAAGTGAGAAGGTTAGCATTTCCCATTTTGAGGATTAAACCTGTTCTCGAACGATGACATCAGTCACATGCAGAAAATATACAGATTGTTTTATTTGTGTGTTCTTTTATTGATTCGTTTTCTACGGCTTATCAACCCACTGCAGGTTATTTAAAGCCAGAAAATATTTTTATATCGTAAAATTTTTTTTTCTTTTGGAGATAATAATGATTCATTGATGCAAGTTTTACTAATTCACCCATAGCTAGGGAGAAAGAGGTGGATCCAGGGTATTTGCACGTGTTTATATAACGACCCCAACTGGAATTTGAACTCGGTTCTCCGATTAACAATTCCATTATCCATTACAGCACCCGCACATCTAAACTTACAGCGCTCAGTATTTCCAAGCGGTCATTTATGTAGGTACTAACCAGGATTGACGTTGACTTCCGTGGACGTATGAGAACCAATGTTTCAACGTGATACGGCCGTAAGCCGTAATTTAGTGTAGAGATTAATCTCTATCTATAAACGGCAGGATGTGTGTACGTGTGTGTGGAATGAATGCACGGCCGCAATTTTCGACGGATTTGCACCAAAATTTACATGCACATGCTCCAAGTTAGCGGGAAGCTCAATACTGACTTTGCATTTCCCGTCTTCCATCGATAGTGGAAATAATCGATTTTTTTTTTCATGCTTCTACGGCAGTTTTCATGTAGTTTGCGGCCATTTTCTACTGGCCAGAGTGAGAGCCTATAGCTGGCTGCCACAAATAGGCAGGAATATTCTATTGGCCAGCGTGAGAGCCAACAGCTGACTGACACGAATGTTAACTAGCATGCAAAAAAAAAATCGATATCGGCATTCATTACAAGTGGGAAAATTAAAATCTGCATGGCACTTTACTCCAACTGGCTCATTCGCTTGCTTAAACTCAACATTGATTCTGATTCCGCAGAACTGGGTTGGGTATGAAAAAGTATTTGTTGTTAACATTCTTTTTTCATTCGGTTTTTCCAGTTACGAGTCCTTTTTTAAAGCTGATCGTTTTGTGTTCATTTTGTTTAGTTCTTTTCCGTAACAGATTTAATGTTTAGTATAGATCTTTGAAAAAATCATGTGAGATAGGCAAGAAGTAAGGCATGTAGCAACATCAGCACGGCAAAGAGCACTCCTTTAAAGGCAAGGAAAGGCAAAAATATTTTAAGTCAAGTGATAGCGATCGCTGTATGAGTCGTACGATTTTTGAATCAAGCACGGGCAACGCCGGGCCATGCTGCTAGTCTATTTATATAGTTTATGTTTATATATAAATATATGTTTTTATAAATATTTTATATATTTTATTTTCATTGATTAATATAATTATAGAGTTTACTTCGTAGATGAATTTATTGTTTTCAGAAGAAATGTCGATATCCCAATAAAATGCATGGTTTATCAACAAATAACTAAAAAATCATGTACGATATATGTTTATCGGAATTTTTACAATGCTTTTAACATTACACTTTCTTTTTATAGTGCCATGGACCTTGATAAGTAAGGTAACCCGGCTTGGATTGAGGAATCGGAGAGCCGAGTTCGATTTCCTCTTGAATCCATTACATTTATTTACGTGCTAATACCCTTGGGTACTAGCACGAAATTCTCGGCTATATTGAACTAGATTTTTCACTACTTAGTCTTCTGTTTCTTCGATACGCTTTCTAAATACGGCTATCCTAATTCTGGGCTATTCTGAACTAGATTTTTCCCTCTTTAGTTTTCTGTTACTACGATACTCTTTCTAAATACGGCCTTCCTAATTATGGGCTTTTTTGAACTAGATTTTCCCCTCCTTAATCTTCTGTTCCTTCGATACTCTTTCTAAATACGGCCTACATCGATATGCGTCCAGTACTTACGAAAGAGACTATAGACGTTACTATTTTCAGCACAAACAGCCGCCGTTCCCACAGCGCCCGCACCGGATACGGACAGCATACTAATAGGATATGCGATCATCTCGTTTCTCCCATATAGTTTCGGGAAGTTATATTTGAGCGCTAATTTGTGACAAAACTCTCGTCCTTTATTTTAGACGAGCAGTGCAAAAGCTTTATATTGTCTCTTCCAATCTAATCATTATTCTACTTTTTTTTCCGAGATGCGAGAGGAAGTGTCGGTCTAAAGTAACCATGCGAACGCATTCGCTTGTCTGAAATAGACACCGTTTTCCTGGGGAGGCAGGCACTTGAGCGAGGCCAATCAGATATTCCACTTTAAGCAGGACGAGACGATTTTCAGACGTTTTACAGTTGACATTTCATAATTGCAGTCCTGTGTCCGACTCGAATTATGACGACTATTATTATTATTATTATGATTATTATTTTGACAATCTTTATAGTTATTGATCTTATTACTTGTCTGTAGTATTTATTCTTATTGTGGGGTGCAAGATCTTTCGTGAGACCTTTACACTCTCAAATATTAATATGCCTGTTGTAATTACATTAAACGCCTGTTCGCTTAGTGTTTGAATTTCGTCAACAAGCCAAATAGCCGTTCTATGTACAAAGAAACGTTTCAATAGACCTTCTCTTTAACTGTAAAATTTCCGTATAAAAACATTTACAGTAAAACATCTATTTTCTAAAGTTCATTTTGTCCTCATTTCAAGACCAATTGAATTTTCTGCACTGGACATCACTACAAAAATGAGTGACACTTTTGAAGGATTTTCTAATGCTATTATTATCATCATTATTATTAAAAAATTAAGCATACGTATTTGTTAAAATAATTCGATGCAGTTTTAGGTAAATCTACTTAAACAGATTATTGGATCATTCCATTAATAATTTTTCGGCTCCGTTCGCCTAATCCAGTGATTCTTAACCTTTTTAAGCAACGATACACCAAGCAGCAAATGAAATTACCACCCTTTAAAGGGCATACATCTGGTTCCCAGACTTTATGAATTCAAGCACCCTACGAGGCTGGCATCCCGCTCTCACCCTTTCACTGTCGAAACTACTAAATGTATCCGTCTCTTCTACCTCAATAGCTTCATGTCTCGCACCTCTCACCTGTGGAACTCCCTTCCCTATTCCAGTTTCCCTGAGAGCTATAATCTCCAGCTATTCAAATGTAATGTCAATCAACATCTCCAGTTGCCTTGATCTATCCACTATCCTTTTCCTCATCCTTTCCTCTATCATTCCTATCTGACCTTGCTCCAAATCTTCTGTAACCCCTTGCGTCCTAGTGGCTTTCCGCCTTGCTTGGGGTGAATCGCTTAAAAAAAAAATTAAATGTTGTGTTTTAAAAAAATACATATACAAATATGAATTTATTTCATTTCAATGTTTCTATTCAACTGATTTTGCAGCTTATTTAATGTGAAACTTATGACTGGTGTTTTTCGCGATGTCTTGAATGTTTGGTCAAATGTGCGATAAGCAGGCCCCCGTTTCTTCTTCAGTCGAGCGTAGTATTTCTTGCTCCTTATTTTTGATGTTATTTAGGGTTGAGAAGCCTAATTCACATAAATATGAAGTAGAAAATTGCAATGAAACTGATAAAGCCTTTTTAACTAATGTCGGATATTCCTTTTGTACTGAAATTCGAAATGTATCCATGGGTACCGTTGAATGTTTTATTTTGAGCCTTCGATCACTAGAAATGGTGGCCAATTCTTGTACTTCACATAACTGAAGTCCAATATAAGAAAGAACATTTATGAAGGGAATTCGAATCTAATTCTACTTTGGTTTGATAATAATTCACGGTACACTTAAGAGAATCACGCGGCACGGCTGTTGAGAATCACTGGCCTAATCTGTCGTAATGTGAAATGTCAGACGACTTCAGTGTCTACTACGAACGCTGCTGAGCGTAAAATTCTATAGATTTTTTTAATATTCTTTTTAATTATTTACATTATGTCTGCCTCTTTAAAAGAAGTTACATTTAGAAGCCAAGATTTGACATAGCCAACGTTTTATTTGAGTGTAAAGGTGCTGATCTCTTTCTGTTAATCTATTAAGGAATTTTGAGATAATAAGTATAAATTGTTTGTATATAAACACGATGAATTAAAAAAAAACATCGACAGCAACATTCCTTATATATGACAATTTTTAAAATTTGAATTAAAAAGAAATTAATGTTATATAGGAATAACATGTCGATACCGACACTGGAGTTTGAACATAGATCGCCAGTGAGCAAACACAGGCGATCCCATTATTGAATTAAGTGACCATAAAGGAAACGCATATATCTTTATTCCTATTCTATCCCCTATTACTACACAGACCGCTATTCTCTAAACTATTTCTCTTTTCGGATCACTATAGGGATTACTATTCGAGCGAGTACTATTAGTGTGAGTGTAATTCGAGGGCGTCTGACACCAGTATTGTTCAACGGCGTAACTATCGTTTTATTTGCGATTACAAAGTCTCTACTACAACGAGTAAGACAAAAGTGACAACAAGTATTCGTTAGCATTAGTGTTCATTGAAATCAGTCAGTCAGTTAGGTGCCATGCGTGATACACGCTTAGGCGATCATGTATCTTTTGATACATGACTGACGAGACAGATTTTTTCCCGCAGTAGGTTGCCATTACTTTCTGCAGTAGACCAGTTGCCATCGAAGGCTGCAGAACCCGGCCTGTCCTGCTATTTACACATAGCTGGTGGCGGGGGGGGGGAGAAGAGGTTTTATACCTTTCTCATTAATGTGAATGTAATAGATATGACTGGAATTCGAACTCGAGTCTCCGTTTCCTCAATCCGAGCCGCTTGTCTATTACTCCACCGTGCCTCCTTTGACTGTAATACATTGGCCCTAAAGCGAATAAATCAAGCCTCGATGTCTCCACCGCACGTGATTTAGTGGGAGCCAATAACAGTAGTAATAACATTAACTCTCTTGTCGACAGGGACGAGTTGCCTCCCCGCTTGGACTGTCCTGTCTCCTCGCACGCTTTCGATATTCGCCCATATCTTTGATATCACAAAACTTAATATCACAGATAAAATATTTTTTAAGATATGCTTTTAAAATTTTTATGTACGTTAAATGTTGTTTACACCGTTTCTGTTATACACGCCATTTTTTTGTAGTATATTTAGAGGGCCGATAGTAAAATGATTATTTAACGTTATGGGCTGTTTTAGTACTATTGCTGTAAAATGGGGACAGACAAAACTTTATCTTTTTTAAGCGTTTCACCCCACGCTACTAGCACGCAAATGGTTAGAGAGGGTTGGAAAGAGAGCAAATAGGAGTGATAGAGGAAAGGATGAAGAGAAGGATAGGGGATAGATCCAGGCATCTGGAGACGTCGATTGACATTACATTTGAATAGTTGGAGATTATAGCTATCAGCGAAACAGGAAAAGGGGAGGGAGTTCCACATGCGAGAGGTGCGAGACATGAAGCTATTGGAGTAGAAGAGACGGCTACAGTTAACAGTTTCGACAGTGAAACGGTGTGAGCGAGATGCCAGTCTGGTTGAACGCTTAAATTCATGAAGTCTGGGAACCAGCGAATGCAGCTCATCGGAGCAGTTACCGTGGAAGTATTTGTAAAAAAGACAGAGTGAGGCGACGTCTGTGAGAGAGCAACTGCAGACGAGATGCCAGATCAGGGCTAATTATATTGCATATCCGTCTTTGGATTTTATCAAGAACCTTGTATGAATTTGAAAAAAAGAAATATTGTTGGTATTTGATATCTACTTAAAATCTTGTCAAAGTTTAACAAACGTACTCACAAAAAAGCAACGATAAAATATCGGCGTGTTAAAAGGTCGGTTTTTCGCGAGACAACGCTATTAATGAGTGTACGCCATCGTTTTCCAGATACATTTTCTTAAATTATTCTCGTAAATAAACACTCTGATAAATAACTAGTGTTCAACATTGTTATCAATTCTGTCTATATTTCTGAGATGAGGTATTATGTACACTATTTACATTGCTCGGACTACCATCCTCATCTTTGTTGCATTATTTATCACAACGTTTCGGCCGTTGTACGCTTCCGCCTTCTTCAGGTGGTTTGAATGTCGAACTGAACCCTTTATTTCGCTCGCTGAGGTTGACTGTTCTAGTTCCACGTGCCATGTGTAATGGATGTCAGTTATCTGTTAATTCTCCTCTCCAAGTTCTCCACCGCCTTAACCAGGTATTGAACTCACACTCTTTGTTCCTATCACTGGATCTAACTAACGTCTTTATCCACTTTGTCATGTGTCCTTACTTTATTCTAGAGACAATGACAGAAAAAAGGCCACTTATATTTAACATCTGAAAAAGAGTTGGAATTTCTGGGGACACATAATGAGGAAAGAGGGCTTGGAAAATTTGATACTCACAGGATAGATCGACGCTAAGAGAGACAGAGAAAGCAATGCCCATCCTACTTGGCGAGCTTGAGTGAATGTATGGCGGAGCAGGGTTTGGGAGAGATAGCAAAAAGACAAAAGTGCAAGAAAGTGTGGAGAACCATGAGCTCCAACGTCCTGAAGGGACACGCCACATTGAAGAAGACGATGGAATTTTGTTATTTTATTAATAGATTGATTTTTTGTAAAGCTAGATTTTTTTTTAAATGCTCTTGAAACTATTTTTTTTCTGTGGGGGTGCTCGTTTTTTTATTTTTTTTATTAAGTGACAGGTTATTTTTTTTTTCGTCCTTTTCACGGTGCAACAGTTGTAATACCTGCCTATATTTATAAATATAGTTCACGTGGCTCGAAGTGGGACGTTTGATTGTCTGTAGAGCATGTTTTAATTCCGGAAGGAAGTTATCAGTGGTCTTGAAATGAAGCCAACATCCTTGCACAATGATCTAGGTACGGATGTTATGCGGCAATTTTTGGCAGGATCTAACTACTAACGCTCAGTGAGTAAAGAATGACCGACATCGGGTGAGTGACCCGACAGTGTGACCGGGATGCATCAGTCCATAAAGAGGCCATGATACGCGAACAAGTGCGCGCGACCGTCTGCACTTGTCTGCTCACTCACTCATCGTCTGCTAATAGTATTTAGTCAGATTCTTTGATTTTCATAGCGATGTTCTCATAACGTTTCGCCAGGCAATGGCGCTATAAAATAAAAAGATAAAAAGAAAATGTAATTAGCAGATTAATAAGATATTATTTTTTTAAAAATTTCTCTCTCTCTCTCTCTCTCTCTCTCTCTCTCTCTCTGCAATTATTATGGGTTAAAAGGTAGAACAGGTTAGACTTTCTAGCCTGTGTTAGTCTTGATGAAGGACCATTCTGAATTCAAAACCGAAGCGAGGCACAAATAATTATTTGAAAAGTGTTTTTGATAGAGAGTTAGTGGACAGAATCATGTATTTAGTGTTTTAGGTGATACTAAATTCAAGATTCTACCAGCCAACTCTTTTTCAATAAAACTTTAAAGGTATCTATCTCCGTCAATAAAAATATAAAAAACTATTATCACTGAAAACGGTCATGAAGTGCCCAATTAATTCTCACGCAGGGTCCTGAGCGATGATCGTGTTTCAAGTCGAATAAATAATTCCTAATGTAAACAATGTTTCTTTTTTTTTATCTTGATATTTAAATACAAAATATTCTGCTGTTCGTTGTTACTTATTTTATAGAATGAGAACTATAGACTTCTTTCCTCCCAGGAAAATACACCATCTGTAGTATTTGCAGCATTCTTCTATATAACTACGTTTCTGTTACTTGTCTTCATCCGCAAGGAAATTGTCCAGCATTCACTTGTACATAGGAAGATTGCTATTACATAGCAATTTAGCACACTTTTCTCACGTTTCTTAAAGCAGCAAGACTTTGTAGCTCTCAAAAATGATTTTAAGTTTCCTATTCCTATTGTTCTTGTTCTGCCATCCATTTACACAAGATTATAGCGTAGGTTACTCTCACTTTCTCTTCAATATATTATGTGAGTGTCCAGTTATCCAAGCTCCTTTCCTTATTATAAACAAGACATTTCAAACTCTCTGTTGCCCCTGCTTTCAAAATATTCTGTGAGTATCAATTTTTCCAAGACCTCTTCCTCATTATGACCAAGATATTACGAACACTCTGTTTTCCTTGCCTTCAATTTATCCCGTGAGTATCAAGTTCTCCAAACACCCGTCCTCATTATAGCCAAGTAAAATATACGTTTTGATTTCATTTTTCTGAAACTTCCTGGTTGCTCACATATTCCGTCCATTGAATTCTCAGTATCTTTCTGTAGAACCACAGGCTTAAGGCTGTATCATCACCGAAGTCGTGCCTGGTCAGCACTCAGATGGGTGACCGCTTGCAAATAACAGGTTCTCTAAGCTGGGATGTGCGGTTGGTCTAAATGTCTTATAGCCATATGACTTGGAAACCCCGGTTTTCGTATGATCACTGAAGTTAAGCAACATGGACCCTGGTCTGCATCTAAATGATGACAACTTGTGAATATCAGTTAATCTAAGCTTGGGTGTACGGGTTGTGTAATGGATAAAGTCTTGGAAACTGGAAATCGGAGAGCCGTGTTCCAATTCCAGTCGGGTTCTTTACATTCACCTATGCGTAAATACCCTTTGGAAAGGTATAAGTGCACCTTTTCCCTTCCCAGCTATATGTTAATTAGTAGGACATTTATCATTAAATTATTATTATCGCCAAATGACCGTTACAGTTTTAAAAATTTTATGGCTTCAACTACCCAGTAAAAGATTGAAAAGCCATAAAAAAAAATTAAAACATTTGCAGACACACAACAGTTGTCTAAACTTTCCTCTTCACTTACCAGTCGATTGTCCAGTATTTTCTAACATATAGGAGGACTGAAACTGCATAGCAGTTCTGCATTTTTCTTTGTTTTAACGGAATTTTTCACTTACTTATTACATTCATCTTCCATAACAAGCGACCACAACGGACATCGAGTAGAGCTCTGTTCCATAGATAGCAACCAGAAACCACATCCCTGTCGCATTCGGATCTATAAAAAGTGCCCACAAAGCATATCCCTGTCCCGTCCGGTTGTATATAAAACGATCACAAATGACATCCATGTTGTGCTCGGTTTGATAGATAGCGACAAAAAACCACATCCCTGTCGCATTCGGTTCTATAAAAAGCGCCCAAAAAGCATATCCCACTCCCGTCCGGTTGTATATAAAGCTATCACAAAGGAAATCCATGGTGTGCTCGATTTCATAGCGACCAAAAACCACATCCCTGTCGCATTCGGTTCTATAAAAAGCGCCCACAAAGCATTTCCCTGTCCCGTCCGGTGGAATATAAAGCGATGACAAAGGACATCCATGTTGTGCTCGATTTGATAGCGACCAAAAACCACATCCCTTTCGCATTCGGTTCTATAAAAAGCGCCCAAAAAGCATATCCACTCCCGTCCGGTTGTATATAAAGCTATCACAAAGGAAATCCATGGTTTGCTCGGATTGATAGATAGCGACCAAAAACCACATCCCTGTCGCATTCGGTTATTTAAAAAGCAGCCACAAAGCATATACCTGCACCGTCTGGTTGTATATAAAGCGATCACTAAGGACATCGATGGTGTGCACGGTTTGATAGATAGCGACCAAAAACCACATCCCTGTCGCATTCGGCTCTATAAAAAGCGCCCACAAAGCATATCCCTGTCCCGACCGGTCGTACATAAAACGATCACAAAGGATATCCATGGTGTGCTCGGTTTGATTGAAAGCCAGCAAAAAAGACTTCCCTGTCGCATTCGGTTCTATAAAAAGCGCCCTCAAAGCATATCCCTATCCCGTCCCGTAGAATAAAAAGCGATGACAAAGGACATCCATGTTGTGCTCGGTTTGATAAATAGCGACCAAAAACAGCATCCATGTCGCATTCGGTTCTACAAAAAGCGCCCACAAAGTATATGCCTGTCCCGTCCGGTTGTATATAAAACGATCACAAAGGACATCCATGGTGTGCTCGGTTTGATAGATAGCTACCAAAAACCACTTCCCTTTCGCATTCGGTTCTATAAAAAGCGCCCAGAATGCATATCACTGTCCCGTCCGTTTTTTTTTAAATCGATCACAAAGGGCATCCATGGTGTGTTCGGTTTGAGAGATAGCGACAAAAAACTACTTCCCTGTCGCATTCGGTTCTATAAAAAGAACCGACAAAGCATATACCTGTCCCGTCCGGGTGTATCAAAAAGTACATCCATGGTGTGCTCGGTTTGATGGATAGAGACCAAAAACCACTTCCCTGTCGCATTCGGTTCTATAAAAAACGCCCACAAAGCATATCCCTCTCCCGTCCGGGTGTATATAAAACGATCACAAAGGACACCCATGGTGTGCTCGGTTTGATGGATACCGACCAAAAACCACTTCACTGTCGCATTCGGTTCTATAAAAAGCGCCCACAAAGGATATACCTGTCCCGTCCGGTTGTATGCAAAACGATCACAAAGGACACCCATTGTGTGCTCGGTTTGATAGATAGTGACCAAAAACCACAGCCCTGTCGCATTATGTTCTATAAAAATCTCCCACAAAGCATAACCCTGTCCCGTCCGGTTGTATATAAAACGAACACAAAGGACATCCATGGTGTGCTCGGTTTGATAGATAGCGACCAAAAACCATTTCCCTATGGCATTCGTTTCTATAAAAAGCGCCCACAAGCAGATCCCTGTCCCGTCCGGTTGTATATAAAACGATCAAAAAGGACATCCATCTTGTGCACGGTTTGATAGAGAGCGACCAAAAACCACATCCCTGTCGCATTCGGTTCTATAAAAAGCGCCGACAAAGAATTTCGCCGTACCGTCCGGTTGTATATAAAACGATAACAAAGGACGTCCATGTTGTGCTCGGTTTGATAGATAGCGACCAAAGACCACTTCACCGTCGAATTTTGTTCTATAAAAAGCGCCCACAAAGCATACACCTGTCCCGTCCGGTTCTATATAAAACGATCGGTTTGATAGATAGAGACCAAAAACCACTTCCATGTCGCATTATGTTCCATAAAAAGCGTCAACAAGGCATATCCCTCTCCCGTCCGGTTGTATATAAAACGATCACAAAGGGCATCCATGGTGTGCTTAGTTTGATAGATAGCGACCAAAAACCACATCACTGTTGCATTCTGTTCTATAACAAGCGCCCAAAAAGAATATACCTGTCCCGTCCGGTTGTATAAAAAACGATCAGAAAGGACATCCATGGTGTTCTCGGTTTGATAGATAGCGACCAAAAACCATTTCCCTGTCGCATTCAGTTCTATAGAAAGCGCCCACAAAGCATATACCTGTCCCGTCCGGTTGAATACAAAACAATCACAAAGGATATCCATAGTATGCTCGGTTTGATAGATACCGACCAAAATCCACTTCCCTGTCGCATTCGGTTCTATAAAAAGGGCACTCAAAGCATATCCCTGTCCCGTCCCGTGGAATAAAAAGCGATGACAAAGGGCATCGGTTTGATAGATAGCGACCAGAAACCACTTCCCCTCGCATTATGTTCTATAAAAAGCGCCCACAAAGCATATCCCTATCCCGTCCGGTTTTATATAAAGTGGTCACAAAGGATATCTATGGTGTGCTCGGTTTGATAGATAGCGACCAAAACCACATCCCCGTCGCATTTGTTTCTATAAAAGCACCCAAAAAGCATATCCCTCTCCCGTTCGGTTGTATATAAAACGATGACAAAGGACAAGCATGGTGTACTTGGTTTGATAGATAGCGACCAAAAACCACTTCCCTGTCGCATTCGGTTGTATAAAATGGGCCCACAAACATACCACTCTCCCGTCAGGTTGTAGATAAAATGAACACAAAGGACATCCATGGTGTGCTCGGTTCGTTAGATAGCTACCAAAAACCACATCCCCGTCGCATTCGGTTCTATAAAAAGCGCCCACAAAGCACATACCTGTCCCGTCCTGTTGTATATAAAACGATCAAAAAGGACATCCATGGTGTGCTCGGTTTGATAGATAGCGACCAAAAACCATTTACCTGTCGCATTCGGTTCGATAAAAAGCGCCCACAAATCATATCCCTGTCCCGTCCGGTTGTATATAAAACGATCACAAAGGACATCCATGGTGTGGTTGATTTTATAGATAGGGTCCAAAATCCACTTCCTGTCGCATTCAGTTCTATAAAAAGCGCCCACTAAGCATATACCTGTCCAGTCCGGTTGTATATAAAACTATCAAAAAAGACATCCATGGTGTGCTCGGTTTGATCGATAGCGACCAAAAACCACATCCCTGTCGCATTCGGTTCTAGGAAAAGCGCCCACAAAGCATATCCCTGTCCGGTCCGGTTGTATATAAAACGATCACAAAGGACATCCATGGTGTGCTCGGTTTGATAGATACCGACCAAAAACCACTTCCCTGTCGCATTCGGTCCTATAAAAAGAGCCCCAAAATCATATCCCTGTCCCGTCAGGTTGTATATAAAACGATCACAAAGATATCCATGGTGTGCTCGGTTTGATAAATAGCGACCAGAAACCACTTCCCCGTCGCATTATGTTCTAGAAAATGCGCCCACAAAGCATTTCCCTCTCCAGTCCGTTTTTATATAAAACTGTCACAAAGGACATCCCTGGTGTGCTCAGTTTGATGGATAGAGACGAAAAACCACATCCCTGTCGTATTCGGTTCTATAAAAATAGCCCACAAATCATATACCTGTCCCGTCCGCGGGAATATAAAGCGATCACAAAGGACATCCATGGTTTGTTCGCTTTGATAGATAGCGACCAAAAATCATATCCCCGTCGCATTCGGTTCTATAAAAATCGCCCACAAAGCATATCACTGTCCCGTCAGGTTGTATATAAAACGATCACAAAGGACATCCATGGTTTGCTCTGTTTGATAGATAGCGACCAAAAACCACATCCCTGTCGCATTCGGTTCTATAAAAAGCGCCGACAAAGCATATCCCTGTCCCGTCCGGTTGTATATAAATCGATAACAAAGGACGTCCATGTTGTGCTCGGTTTGATAGATCGCGACCAAAAACCACATCGCCGTCGCATTCTGTTCTATAAAAAGCGCCCACAAAGCATATCCCTCTCCCGTCCGGTTGTATATAAAACGGTCAGAAAGGGCATCCATGGTGTGCTCGGTTTGATCGATAGCGACCAAAAACCACATCCCTGTCGCATTCGGTTCTATGAATAGCGACCTCAAATCATATCCCTGTCCCGTCAGGTTGTATATAAAACGATCACAAAGGATATCCATGGTTGTCTCGGTTTGATAGATAGCGACCCAAAACCACATCCCTGACGCATTCGGTTTTATAAAAGCGCCCACAAAACATATCACTGCCCCGTCAGGTTGTATATAAAACGATCATAATGAACATCCATGGTGTGCTCGGTTTGATAGATAGCGACCAGAAACCACTTCCCTGTCGCATGATGTTCTAGAAAATGCGCCCAAAAAGCATATCCCTGTCCCGTCCGGTTGTATATAAAGTGATCACAAATGACATCCATGTTGTGCTCGGTTTGATAGATACCGACCAAAACCACATCCCCGTCGCATTCGGTTCTATACAAAGCGCCCACAAAGCATTTCCCTGTCCCGTCCGGTTTTATATAAAACGATCACAAAGGACATCCATGGTGTCGTCGGTTTGATAGATAATGACCTAAAACAACTTCCCTGTCGCATTCGGTTGTATAATACGCCCACATTGCATATCACTGTCCTGTCAGGTTGTATATAAAACGATTACAAAAGACATCCGTGGTGTGCTCGGTTTAATAGATAGCGACCAAAAATCATATCCCCGTCGCATTCGGTTCTATAAAAATCGCCCCAAAAGCATATCACTGTCCCGTCAGGTTGTATATAAAACGATCACAAAGGACATCCATGGTGTGCTCTGTTTGATAGATAGCGACCAAAAACCACATCCCTGTCGCATTCGGTTCTATGAAAAGCGCTCACAAAGCATATCTCTCTCCCGTCCGGTTGTATATAAAACGGTCAGAAAGGGCATCCATGGTGTGCTCGGTTTGATAGATAGCGACCAAAAATAACATCCCTCTCGCATTTGGTTCCATAAAAGCGCCCACAAAGCATATCCTGTCCCGTCCGGTTGTATATAAAACGATCACAAAGGACATCCACGGTGTGCTCGGTTTGATAGATAGCGACCAAAAACCACATTCCCGTCTCATTCGGTTTTATAAAAAGCGCCCACAAAGCCTATCTATGTCCCGTCCGGTGGATTATAAAGCGATCAAAAAAAACATCCATGGTTTACTCGGTTTGATAGATAGCGACTAAAAACCACATCCCCGTCGCATTCGGTTCTTTAAAAAGCGCCCACAAACATATCACTGTCCCGTCCGGTTGTATACAAAGCGATCACAAAGAACATCCGTGGTGTGCTCGGTTTGATAGATAGGGACCAAAAACAACATCCCCGTCGCATTCGGTTCTATAAAAAGCGCCCACAAATCATATCCCTCTCCCGTTATGTTGTATATAAAACGATCACAAAAGACATCTATGGTGTGCCCGGTTTGATAGATACCGACCAAAAACCACATCCTCGTCGCATTCGGTTCTATAAAAAGTGCCCACAAAGCATATTCCTCTCAGGTCTGTTTGTATATAAAGCGATCACAAAGGACATCCATGGTGTGCTCAGTTTGATAGAAAGCGACCTAAAGCCACATCCCTGTCGCATTCGGTTCTATAAAAAGCGCCCACAAAGCATATCCCAGTCCGGTCCGATGGAATATAAGCGATCACAAAGGACATCCATGGTGTGCTCGGTTTGATAGTTAGCGACTTAAAGCCACATGCCTGTCGCATTCGCTTCCATAAAAATCGCCCACAGAGCATATCTCTGTCCCGTCTGGTTGTATATATAGCGACCACAAATTACATACATGGTGTGCTCGGTTTGATAGTTTGCAACCGAAAACACATACATGTATTCAGTTTTATAAAAATCGGCCACAGGCCAAAACATCTGCAGAACCTCAACTGTTGTCTAAACTATTCGACTGCCAGGAGATTTTCTAGCATTCATTAACGTTTAGGAGGATTTATACCGCATACTAGCTCTGCAATCTTTTTGTTCCTCGCGAAATTTTTCAGTTTTTTAATACTTTGTTTACATGAAATAAAAATCTTTTTCTATTGTATTGGTTCTTTGGATTTCGGTGTCATATTTTCCATCGTGTGTTATACCATTTTCCAGATAGTTAATTTTCAGTATCTCCTTTAAGTTTTTGCGCTTTCAATACTTAACTTGCATTTTGAACAATCTCTGTTGATAACGAAAATAGTGTATTATAATATCCGTTACGACTGGGTAGTTAATCTACAATTGAATTTAATCATTAGGCTACACCTGTAAGTGATATTTGGGCGTATTTAGAGGAACTCATCGCAATCCAACTGGGAGCCTGCCCCAAGCGATCCGCTGGATTCTTGTATGTGTTACTTCCCGTACGAACATGAACGATCATAGCTTTCTACGTGTTTTTGAACAGTTTTTTCTACTTTATGTCCACACCACTCCAATTGCTTTTGTGATTGTATCTCGATATATTTTCCCAAACATATCAAGTAGGTTACTAACTGGTTTTCGTTCTGGGTATGACGATAAACTACACCCGGCAGCAAGGGAGATCGGAGGTTTTAAAGAGCCTGGAACCATCTCTTAACTGCTGTTGTTCCCAGATTCAACCCGTTAGTGTACAAGCTATGGGCAAATAGCGCCCCCACCTCAAAAAATCAACAGTAAATGACAAACAATATATTTTGTAGTAAATTAACAATCAGTGCTATAATAAATATATTTAAAAAATACATTTTTATAGCAAAATTACCAAAAATACATTTTATGATCTACAGACTACATATCTAAAATAACATACCTTTAGCCTGAAAGTATAAAATTATGTACAAAATATGTATATTTCGGCATTAAATAACGAATACAGGTTGATATGTCGCTAAACAAAATCAATCAATCAACTGTTTTCTTCTGTTACTCTTGCCTCCGATGAGCCTTGCGAGTGTTAAATTCTTTAAACCTTCTTTCCTCATTGAGTACTAATGGTAACCCTTTATTTTTATTAAAGGCATTTAGCTAATCGATACAACAGACCACAATCCATATCCCTGTCCTGTCTGGTTATAAAAAATCCGACCACACAGCAACATCCCTGTGACACTCTGTTCAATAAAAGGCGACACAAAGGCACATCCCTGTCGAGCTCCGTTCGATAAAAAGCGACTAGCAAAGACATCCCTGTCGTCCTCAGTTCTATAAAAAGCGACCACAAAGCAAATCCATGTTGTGCTCACTTCGATAAAAAGCCACCACGTGTCTCGCTTTAGCGAATGTTTTTGCTTAATCCACCAGGTTCATGGATGTGTGGATTATGAAACGATTAACGGATCGGAAAGTAAAATCGGCGGACCAAGTTAGAATTCTGACAGTTTTCTTTGATCCACTGCATTCACTTTCGCATAAATACCATTAAGGAAAGGCTGGGGTCCATCTGTTCTTCCCTCCGCTATGTGTTAAATAGCAGGGCAGAGTTAACTCTCTAGCCTTGATTGACAGCCAGTCTAGCAGTAATACAACTCTGAATTCAACTGAATTCAGTTGGTTTGATTATGAGCGGATAACTCTTCAGCCTTGATAGTCACCATAAAAAAAATCTCATATCCTCACTCAGCCTGGGCCTGGGGATGTGACAGCTCCTTAAAAAGAGACGCATTGATCGAAATTCACATAAATTGGACAATTGATAATCTCACTAGTTGAAGAGAACTATTTCGCTCGTGATAAATCCCGTACTTACATCACCTCACTGACACAGGGGGAAATAGTGAAAAAATGATGATAGGAAGATTGTGATGCTCCAGTATTACTTACTAAGCTTAACCAAAGCAGTAGGGACGAGTTATCTCATGAACATTTCTTGATGGGGACCTATTTCTACACAATACCACAGCGTTGCGGCCGTTCTGTCTTCAGGCCTTCTTCAGGTTCTTGCCGAACTGGGTAACCTTCAGGGAAATTCGAACTGAATCCTTTACTTAATCCTGGTGGTAGATTTTTATCGTTCCGGTGTCCATCTTTTGGCATACAGGGTGTGAAGGGTATTTTGTCGCCATTTTATTTTTTTTATTTCGCGCATGCGCGTTGTTCGTTTTTGATCTACAGACTACATATCTAAAATAACATACCTTTAGCCTGAAAGTATAAAATTATGTACAAAATATGTACATTTCGGCATTAAATTAAACTCCACTGTATAGCATGGTCAGTTGTACACCGACTGAGAGGAAAACAGCACCATAACGCAATGCACTCCGAAATTTGGAAACGGTATGTTGTAGTTATTGACATTCGCGACGGAAGCACTATTACGAACATTTCAGAGTGTTTGGTTGTCAATCTAAGGATAGTTTAGAGGCTTCGGAAAGAGTTGTATGAGTTTAATGGTGATTACCAAGGTGTTTGGAGTGATCGCTAGTGATGGCAACGTTATACATCCATACATCTTCCCTCAGGGCCCCAGACACAACACGGAGGCCTACATAAAATGCCTTGAAGAGGTAGTGCTGCATTGGGTCAAGTGGATGGTTGCTGGGAGGCCCTATGTCTCGCAACAGGACTCTGCACCATACCACACAAGCAGGAAAACCCAGTCATAGCTGTTAGAAAATTTCTGCAAGTACATCACGCCTTACATCTGGCCACCTAACACCCCAGATTGCACCACCCTTCATTAATATGTGTGGGGCCCGGTTGAGCAAGAGACCAACAAAACTCCTCGTAACACCAAAGTTGAACTGAAGGCAAAGATTATGGCACCATTGGCCAACTTAAATAAGTTGCAGAAGATTCCGAAGTCGTCTGGAGGCCGTGGTTGAAGCCAATAGAGATTTTATTTGATAAATTTACTCTTTAATATTTCAAGATGTATTTGTGAAATGTTGGTAAATATACCTGTTAAAATGAGATGTCAGTGTTAATTTTCATGTTTGCGTAATTTAGACGACAATTTATACATCGCACCGTTTATTTAGAAATGCTCAGTTATTGCTCGGTCGGTACCTAAATGGGTGTCCGCTTGGGAATACCAGGTAAACTTGGATGTGCGGGTGGTGTAATGGATAACGGCTTGGAATGAGAAAATGGAGAGTTGAGTTCTAATTCCAGCCCGGTTCGTTATATTTACTTACGTGTAAATATCCTCGGGAAATGTATGAATTTCTTCTCCCCAACTATGGGT